ATATGTTGTGTATCTTTATATTTGTATCTACCTCTTCCATGTTTCCTCCTCAAAGTACCTATCTTTTCTTTTTTGTGATTGTAACCAAAACTCCTCAAAGAAAAAGAAATTTTTAAAAGTAACTTGCCATATACTTGATGTCAAAAAAGTTATACTATTTGATTTAGTTTTTTCCACTCTAATGTTCCAGGTTTTCAGATAAATCTGTAGAATTAATTTTGTTGGCTAGTACTATCTCTATAGATATGTGATTTTTTGTTGTGTTTTTTTTATTTTTTTGTAGTATTAGGTTTCATAGGGGTGTTTATTCAGTTGTTCAAGTCGCAACATAATGCTGTGGAAAAAGAGAAGCGTGAAAGACAAAAGGAGGCTGATCGTATTAGAAGGGAGGAGGAATTTGCTGCAGAACCTGTCACCTTAAAGGTGTTTGTGTTGTTGACTGTAGCAGTAGTAAAGACATTTGATTGTTTTTTCAAACCATTGTAAATATCCATGTTTCATAATCATTTTCCCTTGCTTCTTCATTAAGCAACAATTAATATATACATATACATATGAGCTTTTAAGCCAATCTAATGGACTAATACAATACATATTTAGATACACAATATACATTAATAACCCCCGCAGTTCAAGCAGTAGTAACACTTCAGATGCTCAAGCTGTTTCTAAAGTCCTTGAATTGAGGAGTACGATGCCCTTTGGTAAAAATATCTACATACCGAAGAGTAGAAGGGATATACATGACACGAACTTGACCGTGAAAACTTTATCGCGAACGAAATGAATATCAATTTTAATGTGTTTTTTCATTTGTTGTTGAACGGATTGGTGGAGAGATAAATGACACTCACATTATCGCAATACATAATAACGGATTTTGGGAAGGGGGTATGGAGCTAACGAAGGAGATTTCGTAGCCATCACGTTTCAGCAACCGCATTAGCAACACCGCGGTATTCAGTTTAGGCACTAGATCTCGAAACGGTTGGTTCAAGTTTAGAAGACCACAAGACTAGATTATCACTGAGGAAGACCACTAACCACTAGTAGATCGGCGTGTAGATGGACAACCGCCCCAATCTAAGTAAGCAACAAGGCCTAGAAGAGTGATGAAGCTGGAGACCCACATCCAGAGTTCCGCATATGTAACGTAAGATGTGTTTTAGTGCATGAAAATGAGGTTTGTATGGGTCATGCATGTATAAGCAGATCTGTTAAACAGTGAAAGATATATATGGTCCGATGAAGGTTAGGTATTGAAGGCCTCCAAAAAGTCTACGATACAAAGTAGAATTTGCAACAGGTGAACCATAGGCATCGAGTTTAGATTGTGTATCGGTTGGAGTTTGACATGGGTTGGAGTTTAGCATATATTTGCTCTTTCAAGGACCTATAAGGCATATTTTCATTGGATAGGAATAAACCCTCTTTGTTTGATGTCGCCGAAATACCCAAAAAATATGACAGGGTGTTCTAGACCTGTCATGGCAAACTCTTCTGCCAAGAGTTTGATAATGTGCTTAAGAAACACTATGGTCGATGTAATGAGAAAAATGTCATCCACATAGAGTAGCAGGTAAGCAGTGGTAGTTCTAAATCAAAATATAAAAAAAGATGAATTAGTTTTGCTGTGTATAAACCCAATCTTTTTTATAAAGGTAGCAAAACGATTTAACCATGCTTGCGTTTCCTGTTTTAAACCATATAGAGATTTCTGAAGATGACACACGTGATCTGGAAGTTGTTGATCACGAAACCTGGGTGGTTGGTGTATGTAAACGGTTTCATTAAGGTGACCATGCAAGAACATGTTTTTGACATCAAGTTTGTGCACCGGCCATTTATGAGAGATGGCAAGACGGAGAACCATACGAATGGTAGCCAGTTTAACAAAAGTTTCACCACAATCAATTCCTGTTCTTTGACATTTTCCATTTTCCACTAATGGATCTCTATAATGTTCCAACGTGTCATATGCTTTATATTTCTTTTTAAATAACCACATACATCAGAAAATGTTAACGTCCTTTGGTCTCAAAACAAGTACCCATGTTCCACTAGAAATAAGAGTAGTAAATTATGTTTTCATGGCATTGTTCCAATTTGGATCTTTGAGGGCATAAAGGTGGGACTGAGGTATTGGGGATTCAATTATAGTATGGAGGTTTACTTTGGAGATAGGTTTGAAGATGCCACATTGTGCATGAGTGGTCATTGAGTATGTGGGTATGAGAATAGTAGGAGAAGGTGAATGGGAAAAGGGAGGGATGGACTGAGAGGATGACGATGAAAGGGGGTTGTTGTGGGGAGTTTGGTGAGGAAAATGGTTATTTAGATTGGAAGGGAGGGGTATCTTGGTCGGGTTGGTGTGGAGAAAAGATGAGAGGTGTGTTGGGTGTAATGCACTGGGAGAGTCGATAGATAAGGGTTGTTTGTTGGGCGATGAGTGACTAGGTGGAAGTTCAGAAATAAGTGTGACGTTGGGGTTTGAGGGTATATAGGGTAAGTCTTCTAGAAATTCGTAGGATGGAGGATTATCAGTAGTCGTAGATTTAAAAGGGAATATGGTTTCACTAACAATGGCATGTCTTGAAATTATGATTTTGCGAGTGTGAAGATCAAGACACTGGTAGCACGGTGTTGTGAGGGGTAACCGAGGAAAATGCATGGGGTGGAATGGTGTTTTAATTTATGGGTGGTGGGTATTAAATCGTAGCAAAGGTGTAACATCCCCCTCTGACACGTATCACAATATTGTCCGCTTTGGGCTCCCGGCACGAAAATTTTCCAGGGGGTCACCCATCCCTGAATTTCTCTCTCCCGGGCACGCTTAACTACAAAGTTCTTATGGGATATGTTGCCCTCACAGCTTCAAAACACGTTGTGACAAGGAAGGTATCCACACCCCTTATAAGGAAATATTTCGTTCTACTTCCAAGCCGATGTGGGATCAGGTGCAACCCACCTTCACCCCCCATTTTAGGGTTCGACATCTCTGTCGAACACATCGACCCATGCCCTAGATATGATACCATTTTTAACATCCCCCTCTGGCACATATCACAATATTGTCCGCTTTGGGCTCCCGGCACAAAAACTTCCCAGGAGGTCACCCATCCCTTAATTGCTCTCTCCCAAGCATGCTTAACTGCAAAGTTCTAATGGGATCTGCTGCCCTCACGGCTTTAAAATGCATTGTGACAAGGAAGGTATCCACACCCCTTATAAGGAAATGTTTCGTTCTCTTTCCAAGCCGATGTGGGATCAGGTGCAACCCACCTACTTGTAACGTCCCGAAAATCATAGGTTAAAATTTTCATTTTTAATATATATTCAAATATTCATTTATCCTTTATTCAAACATTTAAGAGTATTTCGGAATAAAACAATTATCAGAGTACAATCCCAAAATCACGAATTGCGGAAAATACGGGTGTATGCGGTGCAATCAAGCCGAGCCCTTCCCTTTTGAACCAGAAGTACCTAAACCCATAAACCACAAACTGTAAGCACAAAGCTTAGTGAGTTCCCTAAATACCACATACCATACATAACATACGAGCCATACAAATCATGCATACAATAGGAGGTGCTATGTGCCAACCATAGTCTTGCCATTATGCCACGAGGCGTATCATGGTCTTTCCTTGCCAAGTCGGGGACCGAAACCCTGGTTCTTACAGACAAGTGCCAGGAGCCACCTCCTGATCTTCCATGAAAGCATCACAAATACAACTAGCATATAATCTACAATTACTTATCTACTTAACTGCCAGAGTTCAGACTCCGGTCTTGCATACAGTTTTCTAGGAACCACCTCCTGGTCTTTCATACAAATGCCAAGGGTCACCTCCTGGTCTTCCTATTATACATAAACCAAATGGGTCGACATTGGTGCCTTCGACCCGTAGTACAATGAGGAGACTCACCTCGACAGCTAAACCCACAAATAAATCTCTGACTTCTGATCTGCTAGAATCCTCGTGCTAACAAACAAATAACACCCAATTAACAATTGGGTTCCAAAACAAATCCAATAATCCATATATGGGGTAAATATACCATTTTACCTTCCCCTAGTTTGGACTAAGACTAAGGCATCCAAAGCTCACTTATGGCCTAATTTTCCAAATTGGGCCCAAACCCTTACATGGGCCTTACCCTAAAGCCCATTAACTTTTCCTAATCCAAAACACATATTCTCAGCTGATCCAACAAATCCCCAAGCAACCAAGCCCAAACCGAAGCCCAAACAGACCAAACCCATTCACACCAAGTACGCGGGGCGTACAGGCACGTACGCACAGCGTACTTGCTTGAAGGCTTATACGCTAAGCGTACCTACTTGTACGCCCAACGTACTCACCCTTATTCAGCCCAAACTTGATTTTCACTAAATACATTAAGACAAAGCTTCCAAAACACAGATTTGGCCTCCTTGAGCTGGAATACCATGTAAAGTTGCCAACTTTACGTTCATACATGGCTAAAAGAAGCTCTTAAGCTTAAAAGGGACTTAATGGTTGACTTAATGCATGCATGACTCCATAATACACATAAAGCTTCCACCTTTATGCTCAAGGATACCAAAACAAATTCAGATCTGAAAGGATAAACCCTTAAACAACCTAATTCATCCATAACTCAAAAAGAAGACCAAATTTCATAATAAACTAGCCATGAAGAGATCTAATCATACACAAACCAAGATGCAAACTTGATACCTCAAAAAGCTTCCCCACAAGGTGATGATTCTGGATCCAAAGCTTTCCCACCAAGCAAAACAACTTCAAGCTTCTCTTCTTTCCTTCACAAGGGCAAAAATAAGCACCCATGCATTCCAATAGCTCAAGAACACCACCAATAGGCTACAAGGTCGATTTAGGGTTTTTGGGGTGTGGAGGCTAGCTTAGAAATGAACCAAAGAGACTAACATTAAGCTTATATAGGGTACATCCCTAAAAATTAGGGTTTCAAACCAACCCTCATACGCCCATCGTACTCCTCGTACGCCCAGCATACGAGGTCTCGCACCCCGTGTCACACCCCCAAACCAAGGATGGCGGAAACGTCCGGGGGTGGAGGACTTCATGTATAGTATCACAAAAACGAATATAATAGTGCTCATAGTAAATACAACCATCATAAATATAATTGAAAAGGTTACACCATGGAATAAGTTTACATGTTTCAAAATCAATTACATTAAGATGACAAAATGAAACGTTTGACGATTTATCGTCCCATCCTCAAAATGTTGTTGGTTTTCCTGATTCACTGATTTCCTGAGAATACAAGTAGTTTTGAAAAAGTGTCAACAATTAAGTTGGTGAGTTCATAAGAGTTTGTTTGCTAAAGAAACCGTTTTCCTTGTAAAAGCGACAAAGTATGTTTCCAGAAAATCCAATATTTTCTTTATTAAGTGAAATGAATGCTTCTATGTTACGCGATAATGAACCCTAGAAAGACCCATAGATTTCCTTCTATAATCGCCCAGTGTATATAAGCTATATAAAATTTAAGTTAAATAAACCGTCGAATATAATGGGTAT